TAAGGATATCATAGTTCAACCATGAATATATAGGTATTTTATCTTGATTATGATTTTTTCTATAATAAACACCAATTTACATCTAGCTACAAAAGATGTATGTAAATTGAGTGTTAAACTTAGTCAGGGACAGTTGGCGAATAACCGATAAATCATATGTAGCCGCAGGCACGGTATAATAGCACAAAATTAATACGTTATTCTCCATATGAGTTTTCCATCAATTTACATGTAACTATGGAATATAAATGTAAATTGATAAGTTTTAACCGTCCATCGTGATTTTCAAATCATAAGTATAAAATATTAGAAAATTTAGAAATCCGTTCCTGACGCGAGTTGTCTATCAATTTACATATAATTATGGAATATAAATTTAAATTGATAAGTTTTAACCCTCCATCGCGATTTCCAAATGATAGATATAAATATTAGAAAAAATTAGAAATCCGTTCCTGACGCGAGTTATCTATCAATTTACATATAACTATGGAATGTAAATGTAAATTGATAAGTTTTATTTGTCCATCACAATTTTTAAACGATAGATATAAAATATTAGAAAAATTAGAAATTCGTTCCTGACACAAACTCTCTATCAATTTACATATAACTATGGAATATAAATGTAAATTGATAAGTTTTAACCCTCCATCGCGATTTCCAAATGATATATATAAATATTAGAAAAAATTAGAAATCCGTTCCTGACGCGAGTTATCTATCAATTTACATATAACTATGGAATGTAAATGTAAATTGATAAGTTTTATTTGTCCATCACAATTTTTAAATGATAGATATAAAATATTAGAAAAATTAAAAATTCGTTCCTGACACAAACTCTCTATCAATTTACATATAACTATAGAATATAAATGTAAATTGATAAGTTTTAACCCTCCATCGCAATTAGATAAAAATATTAGAAAAAATTAGCAATTCGTTCCTGATGCGAGTTATCTATCAATTTACATATAACTATAAAATGTAAATGTAAATTGATAAATTTTACCTGTCTATCATGATTATTAAATTCTAACTATAAAATAACAGTAGAAGTTACAATTAAACTTTTTTACAATTTACATGCAAATATGAATATAAATTAAAGCAAATAAGATTATTTTATAAATTTAAAGGTATAAGGGGTAACACCACTGTAACGGCCCAAAAAATTGCACTTTTTCGACATTTTTTTTTTAATGAAAGGAAATGAAATAAAGTATTAATACTCCGTGAAGTTAATAAGCATATATTGAAGTACTTATAAAAATTTTTTCATAAAATAATATTACAAAATGGCGGAATGGCAGCCATATTCCCGATGCTCCTTTAAAATAAAAGGCTCTGCGGCAAGCAGTGTAGCCGTTGGAAATTTGAACCTAGAACAAATAAAAAAATTCCTCATGATCTTCAATGGTATATCTAGTACAATACGTATGGGATTTTAGAAATATTGATTTTTGAGTGATTGGCGAGCATTTGAATAAAGTCGTTCATTTTTCGACAAAAAAAAGTGACATTATTTGGCAATAAAAAATGTTTAGAGCAACGTATCAAAAATTCCATACGTATTGTACTTCGAAATGTTGTTTTGAATGTACAGTAAAAAATTCAAGTGAAAATATTAAAAATTGTTAGAGTTATACTGCTTGCCGCGTTAAAAAAACGTGTTTCGAGAAAAACGCGTTTAAAGTTTGGAGTTGTATTATGAACATGAAAAAATTTAAAATTCGACTCAAAAAAACTTTTTACCATTAGTCTGCAATCCCAGCACCGTAAAGCTGCCCTTCTAAGTTGGAATATTCGTCCTCCATTTCTTTCCTCGCAGATGTTATGCCAGAGCGCGCTTTTTTTGCCGCATCTGATAATTGTGCCTCTGCGTGCTGATTCGTTTTGCATCGGATTCGATGCAAAAATTATATGCTTCGACGCCAATTTCCATTTCCAGAAGCTGCATAATACGTAAAATATTAGTTATTCCATCATTAAAGACGCATGTAGCGATATCCGCTGCTATATTTAGGACTGTCTTGCCGCTTGAATACGATTTAGGAGCCAAATTCCACACTGTCGCATTAAAACTTTCGTTACTATTTTGCGTGTAACCGCCCAGGCAACGGTTTAGTAACTCGTCCCGACTCAAATCTTCATAAATAGGTTTTATGGCTTCGTAAACTTCCTCGGAAAGCGGTGACTTGTGACGGAAAGTGTCCAAGGTATCTGCTTCTTGCGCCTTCTTCCAATTGCACTAAGATTTCGAGCACTTCTCGTGTTGCGGATTTTCGTCAGTTGATAACTTATGAAATAAGGTCGCCCAAATTTCATTTTTCATGTCATCTAAGGATGTTGGGTTCCGACGAATGGCCAAACCATAATAAATAGTCAGCTCGTCTATTAATTTGGCACTTAATTTTCCTTTTCCTCCGAGGTTTTTCGATGATTTTTTAAGATTACGAAATCGCGTTTCCATTCTTTTCTGTACGTGCGAGATGCATTCTTTCTTCTGTACTACTAAATCTTCATACGGTTCAGAGTCGATAATACCTTTAAATGTTTTGCTATCACTATCCCCGATGTAGCTTGAATATTTGAGATCGTGCAAATCTTTTGAGCAATGGAACATCTCGATGACTGCGTCAACTTCCATTTTTCCCGATGATCCTTCGTGGTTCGCTTTACATACATCGGCGTGCGTTTTATACCATTCGTCATAGTCACAAGTGTCCAATTTTTTCTTCCACTGTTCGCAACTTTTACAATATTTAGATTTTACCTCAACATCGACAATTTGCCCAGAAAACCAACCAATCAATGACGTGATCCCAAAAAGCGAAGAAAATCCGCGTTTTCTCCAAGAACCATCACCGGAAACCGTTATTCCTGCAGATTGTCCATGTTCTTCAGTCATTTTCTTCTCTTTTTGTGCTGCTTTTTTCAAACTGGAATCTTTTACTGCTGATGTTGCGATTGAAATCATACTCACTAATTTATCGTAAAAAGATTGGAATACTGGACGTGGTAATTCCATGAAAGCACAAAACTTTATAATTCCATTTAGTCCAACTCCTATTAATCGCATAGCTAGAACGATTCGACGATTTATTTCGTATGCGTTTCGTATATATTTACAACTAGGAATTACAACTTCCGGGCAATTAGGACAAGCGATAACTATTTTGAAGCCTAAGCCACGAGGATCTCTTTCACGAAAAGTAATATCGGAATTACAGTTTTTACACTTTACATGTTGTGAAATCACAGGAAAAACTGCCAAAAAATTTATAATTCTGTACCTGAAGTCATAATTTACGTCAAAATCTTCACTCGTTTTCAACTTCTTGGCAGACGCACTCACGCCTTCCGCGTCACCTTCAATCTCGAATCTGTTCTTTGGTCGCCTTTTCGACACGTTGCTTCGACGCCGCGTTGAATGCAATTCTTTTGTGCCTTTTTGTCGCAAATACATTTTTTTTTATCACTCATTTTGCTAACACTCCGAAATTACACAAAAACTGCTCAACTCGAAGCGCACACGTACAACAATAAACGACGGTTATTGATTACAAAGGGGAAAATCATGTGTTTCGTACACGAAATAATGCAATACTGACGCGTAAACACGTGTTTCTATATAAAAATGCTTCTAAAACTACCTCTAGAGACATCTAGTAGTGTCTCACATAACTTAGAAATCAATAAGCAAGGTATTATGCACTACTCTCTCGACAGGTTTCCACCCGGAGCAGGTAGCCGTTTCGGAGTCGCCCGACTCGTTCAGTACATAGCTCGGAATTTCGATGAAAAAAATTAGTTTCACGTATAAAAGTTTTTTCCTCGTATTCTACAGGGTTCAAAGGATTTTTTAAGCCCCAAAAAAATCGATTTTTTGAAAATTTTACAGTGGTGTTACCCCTTAAGACTAGTTTATAGAGAATTCCCCATGGATCTAGATTGATTGAGCCAATCAACTCTTCCTACGCAGAGTTCAGGAGCCCCACCAGTCGCAGGATCTTCCTAGATTCCCTTTTTTTTTTTTTTTTTGGTTGGCGCTTAGAATAAGGTCAGCGTTCTTCTTTTTCCTGGGCCGAGTAAGGGCACGCCTGTCGCCAATGGTTGTTTTTTTGAGCTTATTGATGTCCTCTGTCCACCAATAACAACACTTTCTCTTACTCCTGCTCGAACGAGGTGTGGACACGGAACACGCATCAGCCATAGTTTGGCTAATCCAATCAACGATGGGGTTAACCGCATCACCATCCAAAACATCTGCTGAGTTGAAATCGCAGTACCATTCCAGGCATTCAATGAAAAGTGACCTGTCCATTTTTCTGAAATTCCATCTATTAGAGGGAAGTTTAGGTGGTGACTGAGCGTTATTTCGATCCAAGTATGTAAAGGTGATGTAGACGTGGTCGGATAATGATTCCATATCATTTCTGACCTTCCAATCACAGATGTTGCTGAGCATATCATGCGAAGCCCAGGTAAGATCAATAACTGATGAACCCTGCGGGCGAATACAGGTAGGCAAATCACCTATATTTACCAAAGATAAACCATTAGATGACGCCAGAAGATCAATCAGCCGACCTCTCTTGTCGGTCGTTTTAGACCCCCATAAGTGAGATTTGGCGTTAAAGTCGCCACATATTATAATCCTGGAACGTATTTGCTTAATTATTCCATCAAGATTATCAATAAAAGCGTCAAAATCTGCCATTGAGCTATTTGGCGAGATATAGCAAGACATGACATAAAAGTCTAAATATTTGATAACAATTATGTTGTCTAAACTTTTATATAACTTGCTTTTAGCGTCATTGCCAAGTATCATAACGGCAGCCAAACCATCTCTGCTATAATAGCAGTCCGTAGGTATATTAACTCCACAGGGAGGTTCGGAGATTGCAACCAGGGTGATCTCTAACTCAAGCGACTGTTGGCGTAGTAAATCAAAGGCCGGCCACGACCTATTTAAGTTACACTGTAATATTTTAGTTGCCATAATTGGAAAGACGCGCAGACTGTCTTTGATCAGCTCGTTTCACAGTGTCGTAGCCATTATTGACCAGGCAGGCATACGAGCCAATACGATGGTTGCCGTTTTTCCCTAGATCTACACATATCACACAGTGCGGTGCAGAGGAACAATCCTTCGCCTTATGGTCCCTGTCTCCACATCTGAAACAGGAACCAAACCTGTCCTCAGGGGCCGTACAATTGGTTCTAACGTGCCCAAAGCGCCAGCACTTAAAGCATTGCACTGGACGCTTTTTAAGGAATTCTACCCTAGCCGACGTCCAGCCAATGGAGAGGCGACCAGCCTCAGCAATCGATATCGCTGCATTAAGAGGGCATTGCACCTATGTAATGCCCATTCCGTCGCGCATTTTCTTGATTTCAGCGATGTTAAATGCAGTCGAGGAAAACCACTGATACGCACCAACTGTTCTCTAATCTCCTCCATAGTCGTGGAGGGAGTAAGTCCTGTGATTTTTAACTCACCTCGAGCCACGGGATTGTCCACCTTTGCAATATCTCGAAGAATTATTTCCAACTGGTCTTTAAGTTTGGCTGCAAGTTCGGCTCCTCCCTCACCGGGTACTTCTATCTTATAGCCTCCGTTAAAGGCTGGGCGAATCCTAGTTTCGCGTATACCTAGGGCCTCCAGGGAGATATTTTGCCTGGCCGTGCGGAGGATGTCAGAATAGGACATGTCAGATCCAGCCTTGCCAGTAATGATGACCACAGCCACCTTACGTCTACCAATCCTAGGTTTAATAAATGAGGGTCTGACGTCTCCCTCGTACCACCGATCACCAGTCCCAGCATCACGGGAGCTTCTAGAGCTCCGACGCGAGGCAGATGGCAGAGGAAGGGGTGGGAAATCCTCTCCTCCTCTTGTCATAGATGCCGTTTTCAGAGAGGTGGCTTACTCTGCGCCACTCTGGGGGGAACAACCTGCCTGTTCTCAATTATTCTAATCGTTTTTGGACGAGGGCTTTTTAACGACGGACGGAAATCCTTAGTCTCCTTAGGAATTTTGTTAGCGCTCGTATTGGAGAACACTCTGGACGCGATGTAGGATGTTCCTTTGAGGTTCGCCGACGGAGGTGGGCTCCATGCCGAACCAGCCGACTCAGAGGCCCAATCAATCGTCCCACTCGTAGCTCTTGGCTCTCGGCGAGCACCAATTGTAGGAGACAGAGCGGCAGAGGATTCAGTGTCTCTTCGTTCCTCTACAGGCAGCCCAACTTTAGACACCTTTTGGAGTTTTGGAGCTTCACTACGCTCTTCCTTGATTCGTTGCATCTCCTTTTGCATTGCTTCCATCGCGCTTTGCAGGCTTGTTAGTTTCCTCTGCGTGTTTTCCTCGCGTTTACGGATCTTGTTGATCCCCTCCTCTAGCTCCTGATTTCGTTTCCTCAAATGAGTTATATCACCTTGCTCCTGGGTCTTTTCACTATATGCGCGGACGACGTCTTCTAATTGCACCATATATCTTCTCCAGCGACCATTATACTGACCAGAGAGATTCTTGCTATTAGTCCGTAAAATATCCGTCTGCTTGACCAATGATAGGCCATAAGAGGCAACCTCAGCATTGCTCATGCGTACCAATTCTTCTTTGCTGATCCTGTTAGAAACATCAGAATCGCACGAAATTGCTGAGCCAGAAGCGTCCAGATCAGGCTCATAGCCAGTTCTTCTCCTCGATCTCAATTTCATAGGCGGAGAATTCCTTTTCTTAGTTCTTGACGTCTTTTTGGAGGTCCCGGCGCTCTGCTCGTCAGACAAATCAGATGCAGCCTCATCTGCAGCATCATCGTCCGAGATTACTACAGGGCTAGATCTGTTTGAAACATCTCTATTCTCTACAGCAGCAATCCTTCCACTGCGTCTTACTTTATTGCTACTTTTATTTTTACGAAGAATTCTAACTCTACCATAGGAAGGGGAACTCCTTGCATGCTCTTTACTTGGGCCAGCAATAGGCTCAACATCCTCTGTTGTTTCTTCAACAGCATCCTGCTCGTCAGAGCTGTCAATTAAGCGCATTTTACGATTCCTACTAGCTGGAACAACCGTGTCGTTCTCAGGAGACTCATCAGCCTTGCGCTTGGCTGTTTGTTCAACAGGTGTTACATCTCTAACAAATTCGACAGAAGGCGTATTCGAGCTCAATCTACCGACTTCAAGTGGATCTCTTATTGGCTCATCACACTCAGGTAAGTTGCTTGGCGTTTCATTATCCGCCATAACAGTCTCCATTTGTTCGCAGACCATTTCAACATGGGATCTGCCATTATCCGCGGTAGCTTCATTGACCTGCTCGCCCGACGGTAACAAGCAGGCCAGCCCCTCATTTGATAACGACAAGGCGGGGCCGGGGACGACAACTCCGCCATGCCGATCACTGGAGGCTCCGAGTTCCTCCTGCGACGGTAAGTTTATATTCGTTTCCGTTGTGTCTGCCATGTTATCATAATTATTTGGTTTTTTAGAGGGTGGCCTTCCCTCATGCTCATGAACCAAAGACTTGCAGGGTTGGCATAAGAAAGATCCGTCCAGAGTGTCATCATTAGTGCTACAAATCATTGAGCACGAAATAGCATGAAATTCTTTACTAATTTTATCCAGTTCCGCTCTTTTATTATTTATTGAATGACCAATGCATATCAAGTTGTCCTCCGTCTTGTCAAGTTCCATCATCTTATTAAGATCCGAAAGTTGGGATTCGATGGATTCAACCATGAGTTGATTGAGCGAGTTGATTTCATTTAAATCCGACGAGTTATTATGTATCCTCTGCGAGCTTATTTCAATTTCCTTTTCTTCGTCTTCCGGTGAGGTATTGATACGTATAATTTTGTCGGAATTAGCATCTTTCAAAAGAAGTTCATATTTAGCAACTTTGCCAAGCAGGTACGAACGAGCGCAAAACATTTTATGGCCTTGGTTGTAAATGATCCTAATGCAGGCCTCAATATTATTAAGATCATCCAAAGATAAAGAGCAACTACCTATTACGTCATTTTTACGCAATCTAATGATCGAATTAAGTGCGCACCCCAGTAACATAGTGGGTGAGAGACGGGCTTTACACAAGCGCACCATAACATCCTCTGCTGACTCCATCTTGATGTTAGATACAATACTAGCAGTGACAATAAATAGACCGCGTAAGGCTCCTCTAATGTTATGTAAATAACACAGAGGACCAACGCAGAAATCACATCTATTTTAATTATATCTTAATAATTAACTGCCACCAATAGAGTGTGTCACATAAGCAGCTATCAACCAAATCCTCAAATATCTTCCGAGGAGGAGATGCCGCGGCAATTTTTGAACACACCTATTTAAACTCTAAGCAATTGCATAAACTCATTTAAAGAGTGCAATTTACTAGAATATATATTGTAAATAGTATAGATAGTATTATATTATAATTAGCATAAACCAATAATATTTATAAACAATACTTCATATGAGAAGACCCATCACAAAATAAATAAACTCGTAATTGACCAGTTTGTCAGATTTTCCCCTAGGTAACTTGGGGTTAAAGTATAGTATGTTGGATCAACAGTTTATTATTTATGTCCTAAGTCGCAGCAATAAACACCAGCACCAATCACTGCGCACAGTTATATCAGTTATTTAATAGTATCTTAACTTAATTAGTTTTAACAAAAAAATATATAAAATGTATGAAAATGTAATAGTCTCAGTAACATTACTATAGTAATACTGAGAAAACAATGTTTATACACGTAAAATTAACTTATTATAAGGTAAAAGTAAAGAAAATCCAAAAATGTCCATTAACAAACCCCAGATCTAGTAACCTAGGGTTAAGGTAAATACGCCAAGTTACACATCTATGCAACTATCCATGGTTGCAAATCAGCAAATTGTTTATGTCCTGAATCGTAGCAATAACACCAACATAGAACACTATACACTGCTATAATAGCTATTTTTAATAGTCTGTTAGCATTTGTTAATTTTAGCGCAGTGTATATAAAGTATATGAAAATATAATTATTTTAGTAGAGTTACAATAGTAGAACAGAGAAAACAGTGTTTATGCATGTAAAATTAACTTAGTGTACAAAAATTAACGCAACGCCTAAGATTGTCAGATCAGCAGTTTTCCCCCAGATCTAGTAACTTAGGTATACCCCAAGCTAAACATCTGTGTAATTGTGCGTAATTGTTGTTCAGCAGTTTGCTATTTGTATCCTGAATCACTTTAATAAACGTTAACATTAAGCGCTGTAATTAGTTGTGACAGCTAATTTAATAGTCTCTTAATATTTGTTGATTTAACGAAAACATACATAAAATGTATAAAAATATAATTATATTAGTAGAATAACTGTAATAATACAGAAAAACAATGTTTATGCACTTGAAATCAGCTTAATATAAGATAAAAATGATGAAAGCTCAAAATTATCAATTTCCCAAATTTCCCCCAGATCTAGTAACCTAGGGTTAAGGTAAGTACATCGAGTTTCACTTCTACAGTATTGTTCATGATTGTTCGGCACTTGGCAACGTGGTTCAATCGTTCATCAACAGATGGCGCGTCAATGTCAATTTCGAGACTACCAAAGTAATATATCGAGAGGAGAGTAGTCCCCATCGACATATAGGGTGCGTTCCGTTATGCACTGCAAGTACTGGCACTATGACGTCATGCAAGTGTACTGTTGACAGCGTTCCTTTTTAATTTTGTACACTTTGAAGCTACTGCAAAATAGTAAAACGGAACGCACTACAGTACGCTTTCAGCAGACTTTTAACTAACCTTTTTCGCTAATAATCATCGAGTGAAAAATTGGTGAAATGGATAATACCATTATTGCATTAATTACATATAATTTAATCGAGAATATATATGATTCGAGTGAGTCATCAAGTGAAAGCGATTTGGAAATGGAATTAATAAATGAAATGAGACGACAAATTAAAATACCTAGAATAAAATGTAAAAATTACGTTAAAATATTGTATCATTATATTCAGATATGGAATTTAAAAGTTAGTTCCACCGTACACATGGAGGTAGCCATCTTGATTACTGCGAGTGCTTTACCTCGCCGGTTGCAGTAATCGCAACAGGAAATAACGTCAAATTAATGACGTCATATACTCATGATAGTACTTTCGCAGTGCACTGCTATCTATATCGGAACGCTATTGGTAGTACTGTCAGTACTTGCAGTGCATAACGGAACGCACCCTTAGAGTGAGAAGTACTACATCTGAGGCCTATGTTTGTCTCTCTTTTTGCAGGGCCGTCTAAAAAAATTGCGGACCATGTGCATTTTTCTATGAAATATGTAGTCAATAGATTTTTTTAGAATTTATTTTAAAATTTGTTTTAATATATTTAATATATTTATAAATAAACAATAAATTTGCTTTAATTTTATAATTTTACTTTACACAATTTTTTATTACATACTATTACATATCTTAATTTTATTATTATATATATAATTTTAATATATATTTAACAAAACTATGCAAGTTACGTATATATAATATAATTATATACAGCTTTAAAACAATATGTTTAAAGAATGTGTTACAATAATGTCCTATAAAAATACTTTTAATGTACTTACTTATGCATCTGTATATCCTTTTTATTTTTATTATACGTAATTTTGCACACAAAACACCTTAAAACCATTTTTTAATTTTTAAAGATAAAGATAAACGTTTCACGTTATTCCAAAGCGAGTAGGCGAAGGTGAGGTGTCAAAAATTTAATGCTATGTTACTGCTAGAATTCTGGAGGGGGACGAAATAACAAATCAGAAGCTTGCAAGAGAGACAAACATAGGCCTCAGATGTAGTACCTCTCACTCTAAAGCAGGCGCGCGTTTACATATCGCAATGCTCAGTCCATTCTATATGTCGATGGTAGTCCCGAGAGAGACCATAACCTCAGAAACACAATCTGTCACTTCCAGAGTCGCGTTCCGACCGTGCTAGCGATCGGACGCACAGAGTGATCGAGTAATTTATCTCTGGTTAAGAGGTTATAGCAAGCGCGGGGTAGTTGAGTTGTCACAGTTTTGAGGATCATAAAGTTGACCGAACAAAAGGAACAGCTGGACGATGTCAGAAATTCCCCCGATCGGACGAGGGAATAGATTCAACCCATATCGTAAGGAGAGTGGCAAAACGAACGAGAAAGGAAGAGCAAGGAGCCGAGAGTTTTTGGATAGTATAGAGGACATGATAGAGACAGAGAATGACGAGGAGAGTAACGTAACAAGTAAATTACAATTAAGAGCAAGCAGTTCAATTAAGGAAACAGGTTCGCAATCAAGCGTGAATCAACCAGACAAAGATGCAGATATGGAGCTGTCGGAGGAGATTATAGATTCGAGCCAAGAACCAAGTACCAGGACAAGGAATGCAGAGGACGATACACAAACAACCAACCGAAAGGAACAGGAAAATGTCAACAAACAAGTAACGAATATAAATAAGGTCATAAAGTCAGATAGCTTTGTCGTGATTAACGGTATTCTTGAGAAAGTTAGCGATATAGATAAAGAAACCTATGACAAAATATTTCGTTTAAACAATCAGAGATATGATAGCAAAATTACAAATGTATGTAAAATTAATTGTAAAATTAACACAGATCATGTTATGTCAAATAGGGGTAAGAACTGTACAAAAATTTTACTGTGGTGCAATAAGAATGGGGTATTCCCTATTAATATAGAAATGATAAAATTTAATCTATCAACAATAAGTTTTAAAAATGCAAAAGAAGCTAATGATTGTTTAGACAAAATAGACAAAGTAGAAAATAAATGGCTCACCGGTTTTATAGATAAAAAGTTAGTTACGTGTAGAGGTGTAATTGTCGACTGGCCGTTCGAGATACCAGAATTATGGGAAAATATAGTTGAGAGGGAAGATATATTAAAAATAGAGAAAATGAAAAAAAGAATTTGGAATAAAACGGATAAGAAATACGAGGTAGTCAATACGAATAATTTTATTATAACTATGAAAGGGAATAAAATTAAAGATAGTTTAACAATTTTTAATAATTTACACATAAGTCTAAGAATCAGACCATATGTAGAACCAGTGGTTCAATGTTTCAAATGTTTCATATTTGGTCATATCAAAACACATTGTAAGAGAGAGGTTAGATGCATTATTTGTGGAGAAAATGCACACGGAGAGTGCAACAGGTTGACTACGTGTAGAAATTGCGGAGGAGATCATAGATCCACCGCAAGAAATTGTCCAGTTTTTCTAAGAAATAAGGAAATAAAAGTTATTATGGCATATAATAATATCTCATTCACAGAGGCTGAAAGATTGATTACTGGGAAGAACTATGAACAAATAATTCCGAAATATGATAGGTACACCAATCCAAGCGCATGGCCTAAGCTAAAACAAAATATTGTAAAAAATGATTTCAGAAAAGAAAAAGAAAACCCAACGGTTATACATGGCCCTCCGAGAGAAGGACAAGGTTATACACACAAACCCAAAGAACGAGAAGCATTCAGAAGAGAAAAAGAAAAAATTGAGGAAGGAAGACAGGCGTACTTAAATTATTATAGAGAATTCCAAAAAAAAATCGAGGAGCCTTTACAAAAAAGAAGTGAATTCTTAGCTCAAATTATGAAGGGTAAATGTAAAGAGTCTGAAGACTTTAACAGAGACTTTGCAAATTTGTTACATAAACATAGAATACCTTTGGACCGATTTCCAATTTATAATGAAGAAGAGGATATTCGACAAGAAGAAAATAACAGAGAAATATATGTAAGAAAGAGGAAAATGGAGAAATATCAAGAAGAATTAACCAAAGCTAAGATGGTAAGACAGAATATGAAAAGAAACTATTGGGAAGATAGAAATAAAAAAGAAGATAAGAGCTATTAAGACTAACCAATGTCTACCATACTTTTATGGAATGCAGGAGGTATAAAAAACAAGAAATCAGAATTAAAAAACAATATTATTCCGTACGATATTGTAGTTATTACTGAAACTAAATTGAACAGAAATAATATTTTATATTTTTCAGGATTTAAGACATATAAATCTAACAATGCAACTAATAGTGGTGGAGTTGCAATTTTAGTTAAAAATAACATTGATTTCGAAGTTATTGAAGAATGGAACATCTCCTCCCCAAACATAGAAGCTATCGGTATTAAAATTAAAAATACAAATAACAACTTCAATTTAATAGCGGTCTATAGAAAACCATATGGTTCAGAAACAATTACTTCATGGCAGGATATATTAAAATTTAAAGGAGTCGATGACAATTCAATTATTTTGGGCGATTTCAACTCCCACCATACTATTTGGAATTGTGATAGAATAGACAAAAACGGAGAAAATTTATACTTAACAATGTTTAACAAAGGCTACGTTAGTATAAATAATGATACTAAATCTCGGCTAAATTACTACAATCAGTCTGCTTCTAATATTGATTTGGCATTTGCTAATAGAGACCTAATAGGAAAGCTAGAATATGTACAAATAAAAGATACATGGGGATCTGATCATTATCCAATAGAGATTAGTGTTAATAGTATTATTTCACAATATAAAAAAAGAACAAATAGAATTACAAACAAAAACACAGATTGGAGGTCTTTTAAGAACAAGGTAGAGGAGGATTTACAAAAAATCCAGGACAGATCGATTGATTGTGGTAATTTGGAGGAGAAATATAAAATATTTATAGATATTATCAAAAAAGCAGCCATGTTAGCAACAGGTAAAAAAACTGACAAATGTATAGATAATAACTCTAATGTAAATAATAGAATTGATGCGTGTAAGCTCAGACAACCTGTTAAATGGTGGGATAATGAATGCTCAGAGATAATAGAGAATAGAAAAAAAAACTAAAGATATGGAAACGGACAGGAAAAGTGGAGGATTTTATTGAATTCAAAAAAAGTCGCGCACTAGCTAGAAAAGTCATCAATAGAAAGAAAAAAGAAGATTTTATTAAATTTTGTAATAGTATTAATAAACATACTAGTATGAAGTACGTTTGGAATTCAATGCGTATATATAAGAATGTAAGAAATAAGATTAACTGGAACGTTTGGCAACATAAAGATAGAGAACAAGAAATATGGAATACGATTGAAGAACTTGCTCCTCCATGGGTTGCAGAGGAAAAAACAACAAGACGGATAACAAATACGACAGATAGAGAGGAGTTGAATAGGATGTTTTCTATGGAAGAGCTCTCCCGTGCCCTATGGATGATTAAAAGAAACTCAGCTCCAGGGTTAGACGGAATAGATTATATAATGCTAAAAAACCTACCGAAAATTGGCAAACAATTACTTCTAAGGTTGTTCAATGAAATTTGGATGAGGGATTGGTTTCCGTCGGATTGGAGAAACTATCAGATTTTGTTTATTGATAAAATAGGAAAAGAAAAAGTCAGACCTGTTGCACTTTCTTCATGTGTAGGAAAATTAATGGAAAGACTGATAAACGAAAGACTTATTTGGTGGCTAGAAAAAGAAAAAAAGCTATCATCAATGCAAAATGGATTCCGTAGGGGGAGATCATGTATGGAAAATTTAGTAAAGCTAGTATCGGATGTTCGTGGAACGAATCTGGCCGACAATTACACCTTAGCGGCTTTCTTGGACGTCTCAGCGGCGTACGATAATGTAGACTTTGATATATTAATAGAGAAATTAAGAAGGGAAAAGTGTCCAACGGGTATTTACAATTTTATTAGTAGATGGTTAGAACCTCGTGATACATCTTTTGTGATTAATAACCAAAGAGTAGAAATTAGAAAAGTTAACAAAGGCTTGCCACAGGGAGCAGTTCTTAGCCCTATTCTATATGCGTTATACACGAATAAATTGACTTCCAGATTGGAAAATTCAGTCCAAATAGTACAATTTGCGGATGATATCGCGGTATATGTACAAAGTTCCAACAGATTTGAAAATAAAATAAACTTGGAGGTAGCAGTTAATAGAATAGCGAAGAATCTAGAAATTCTAAAACTAGACTTGGCACCACATAAAACAAATCTGGTGGAATTTTCTAAAAAGGGATTCTGTGATAAAAGGCTCTCTATTAATGTTAAGAAAACAAGAATTTTTAATAATCAGGGAGCTAGATTTCTAGGAATTTGGTTAGATAATAAGCTGGATTTTGATAAACAAGTTAGTGATATTAGAGGCAAAGTTAGTAGAGCTAATAATATTATGAAATACCTTAGTAATATAACTAGAGGCGTAGAAGTGAATACTGCTTTGATTCTATATAAAAGTATAGTAAGATCAGTTATGGATTACGGTTGTTTGTGTATAGTCCAACTTCAAAATCTGTTCAACTTAAATTAGAAAGGGGCCAATTCCTGGGAATTCGTACAGCTTTAGGATATAGAAATAGCACGCCAAATAATGTGTTGATTGCAGAATCCAAGGTTATTTTATTAAAAGATAGAGCTTTGATGTTAGCTAAAAATTTTTGTAGCAAAATATTTAAATATGGAGAAAATACACTTAGAAATAGTCTTAATAACCTTCTAAACAAAGAGATGTTTGCAAGATATAGAAATCCAAGTTTTAATAAGAGTACTATTAGTGAAGCATGGGAGTATACGCGTCGTTTTAGCAACAGACTAGGTGCCCAAGAACACACTTTTGAAATATGGAACATGGAATATAGCTCCCTGACTAATGCGATAAATATAGATTTTGAAATCGGCAAGATCATTAAAAAAAAAGGAAAAAAAAGTGACTGTGATATTAGTAAAATAAAAGGATATAGGACTTTAGATATTAAAATGATTAACGAAATTAAACAGAGATATAAGTTAGATAATAAAACTTTTATTATGTATACTGACGGTTCTAAAGACATAACGGCTCAATCAACAGGTGCTGGTATAGCCATTGAGGAGCAAGACGAAGGTTATTATATTAGTTTACCTAAGGAATGCACAATATTTACGGTAGAGGCAATAGCAATTTCTACAGCTCTAAAGATTGCAGAAAGTAGAAGGAATTCCTTCAATAATGTAGTTATATTTTCTGACTCGAAGTCCGTTCTTCAAGCTATCTCTCAAAATAATATTAATGTATATAAAAATAAGTATGTTCTTGAAATAAGAAGGCTATATAGTCGATTTAAAGATCTTTATTTTAAGAATATATTGTTTGTATGGATTCCATCTCACTATGGAATCTCGGGAAATGAAATTGCAGATTTCCTAGCAAAAGCAGGCACCCAGGAACCGGCAAATGTTGAATTTGATATTCCTATTAGAGATTTAAGAAATATATATAAAAATGAAGCGTGGATAAGAACACAAGAATATGTTATTAGAGATTCTAGATTGAAAGGAAAGTACTATTTTTCTAACTTTTATGATAGGAACAGTAAAATACCGTGGTTTGAACATTTTAACGAGGAAAGATATTTTGTAACCTTTGTAAATAGATTAAGAGCGAATCATTATAATTTAAATGCATCGTTAGCAAGGAAAAACTATATAAATGACACAAGATGTGATTGTGGCTACGAATATGAGGATATCGATCACGTGATTTGGCGATGTCATCGATACGACGAAGAGAGAATGAGAATGGGAGACATCTTAAGTAGCAGGAATATCGACGGAGTGGAAAGCGTTACAGACATCCTGAAGAAAAAAGATTGGAAGAAATTTGGTGTTATATTCAATTTTATCAAGAAATTGAACAGAATTATTTAAAAACTTACTGGGCTCGCAGATGCGAGTAATTTAAAAAAAAAAAAAAAAAAAAAAGGCGCCCTCTACCCTAGCCTTGCGTATATTTCCCTCAGGGGCACTACAGACTCATCCCTGTAGTGTACGGGTGTCGCAATCCCGAGGTACCCGAGCTGGAGTGCGTGCGAAGGATGAATGGGGCGTGATGGGCGTGCAGGCCCTAAAAAGGACTTGTCCACTGCACTAGGTGAAGGAAAACACCGAAGATAACACCCGGGGGGAGGCCCCGTTAGCCGAGTAAGGCAACCTCCTAAGGGAAGGAAAACCCCTGACAGAAAAAACCAATTTCTTTCTTTTTCAGATGATGAGTCAAGAAAGAAGCGAACGTCCCGGGTTCGGGTACCGGGAACCGGCGTGGGGGGGGGTGTAGGCCTGGCTCTCCCCTCGTCGTCAACAGACGACAGGTCGTCTGCGGATTTGTCGACTGGGTCCGCAGACAAGTTGGCTACAGTGTCGAAGCGGCTAGAGGATGAGATGGACACTGTTTCATCAATCTGGCTGTGACCTGGGAGGACCTGGACGAGAATGTGGATCCACAGGATCTTGCATTGGACCTCCAACAATTTTTGTTGGATAAAGAGGTGCGCGAGTTTCGGTATCTTGGCGGGTATTATACTCTGGCCATTATGCCGAAAACTTTTTGAGGGACTGTGCACAAGGAAAGACACAGTTTTGTCGCTTTCACGAATGTGTCAAGACTTTTGAACACTTTGCTGCTAGTGACAGTGAAGTGAGCACGCCGAGCGAAACAGGGAGTGATTGTGCGCGGTTTCCTGTTCGTCACTAACTGGTGGTGAGAGTAGCTGCTCTCGATCCCTTCCCTCTCCAGAGGTGCTGAGGGGTCCTAGTAGTGATGAAGAATGTGGAGGTGGGTGAGCCGTCGTTTGTTTCGCTGTCTCTCGCCCAGCTCCCCAGAATCTAAAAAGAGCAGACCCGAAAGGGATATATCGTGGGCTCCGGAGGACAAAAGGGGCGCTTACGGGACGAAAGCAATACCCGCGTAAACTGGCAGGTAAGTGCACTGCGCGTAAGAGGGGTCGCCCCATAAAAACGGGGGGGAGTACTCCAATCTCGCGAATGAGAGGGAGCGCCTCAATATCGCGGAAAAGGAGGCGCTCAAAATAGATTATGCGCGTAGGGTATTGGACCCTTCCTTTGGTCCAATACTCACTGCCATGGGAGCTGATAACACTCCACGGATGCGGTGTTCTGCAGGGAACTCCAGGGTGTCACCACCACGGAGCTTCGCAGGTTGGCGGGGAAATTTGTTACCCAAGTTGAGAGGGTGGCTGGACTCCCTGGTCTTGGAGATGCCATGGCCGGGGAGCTCCGGGTATCCTCAAGGAGACTGGGTGACATAGTTGGAGAGGCGGTAAATCGATCCACGGTGGATCCGGATCCGGGTATGGAGGCACTGAGGATCGAAAATCAGGGCCTGAGAGGGACGTATTTCGGCCTTGGAACGAGAGGTTGATCGGCTGACCTCTGAGCTGGGATTTCTCCGTTCTCCGTTCCCTCAAATTGAGGGTATGTATTTTACGGAGAGGAATGCGAACAAGGGGCCCCTCCCTGTTTCTTCGGAGGGGTCCCCGCAGGATTCGAAGGCGGCGCCGGCGACCCCTTTGGTGGAGGATCGCCCTGTTATGGCCTCGGATCTGTCGTCCCTTTGGATCGTCGCTTTAGCGACTTGAGGGACGACATATCCGTATCTGTTATGACCGCTATTAGGTCAGAGCTCGCGGAGATGGCTGGGGCTCTCTCCCTTCCTGGGGAGTGGCTCACAGACGTGCTCCGGCTGGTAGCGTAGGTGGTGGCTCGTTTGTGCCGGTGATTCGTCCCTTGGCTGGGGGCTCCGCTGCTTCCACTAATGTGGAGGTCTTGGCGGATGCCTCTGTCCGTGGGGTCACCACGAGGATTAGGCGTAGTAGGCGTAGGAGGCGGTTGGGTGCAGGGGTTAAAGATCTTCCCACGGTTACCCCCTCCTCTGAAGGAAAAAAAGGGACTCGTAAGTCCCTCTCCCTTAAGGAAAGAAGGAGACCCGTATTTCTCGTCCCCCTTCCTCGTCGGTGATATCGCTGACGATTGGGGAGGGGGAGATGAAAAAAGGGAGGACTTATGCCTCGGTTCTGTCCGAGGCTAAGTCAAAAATAGATATAAAGAATTAGAGATTAGCTCCATGCGTTTACGAAGGGTGTAACGGTAGCATACTACTGACTGTTCCGGGAAAGGACTCGGCATCGAGAGCAGACGTACTTACGTCTAAGTTAAGAGACGTGTTTCCATCCGGGTGCGTTAGAGTCGGTCGCCCTTCCCGAATGGAGGACGTTCGGCTGAGGGGCTCTATGTACTCGGGAAGAGGCAGAAAATCCTAGAAGAGGTCGCTCTGTTTGGGGGCTGTAGTGTGGAGGACCTTAGGGCTGGAGGAATTCGTCTGTTCCCCAATTCGTTCGAGGGTACGATTTGGATCCGCTGCCCCGCTAGTGTGGCGCGGAAATTGGTGATGGCAGAAGGTTAATCCATCGAGGGGGGGGTGGACGACGCTGAGGTTATCCACCTGGCTCGTCGTCCACTCCAATGTTTCGGTGCCACGAGTTTGGTCACTCGGCCAATGCTTGTGGCGCAGGTGTAGACCGCAGTAACAACTGCTACAGATGTGGTGGCTCGGGGCATAAGGCGGCCCAATTGCGTGGCGCCGCCCCGATGTCATTCGTGTGAGTCCAGGGGGAAACCCTCTGGACATCGCTGCGGGTCGGCTGCATGCTCTCGCGTGCGCGTTCCTCCAAGAGGCGTCGGGAGGTATGCCTTCTTCCGAGCGCGCGCAGGCTCCGGGCGTCCTGATGGGGGATCTCCCGAGAGCCCGGAAATGGACGGTGGTAGACTGTAGTCGGGGCGGGGAGGTCGCTGAGGAGGCGGCTCCCCCTTCCCGGCTGCAGTACTGCCCCGATGTCTAGTGTCTGTCTTTGCTTGGTCGTAGTGTGTAGCGGGGTTGTTGCGGGAGTTCTGGGAGGTTGCCGAAAGGTGACTTCCGTGGTCTCCCTGCCCCGCCAAGTTTTATGTTGTAGGTTGCGGCGATGGGTGATGAGCGCCGGGGAGTTGCCGAGAGGTGACTCCTCGGCCTCTTCACCCACGCCAAGTTTATGTTGTTTCATAGTTTTTATTGTCTTTTGTCATAGTGGGAGTAACAACCCTCCCACCTTTATTGTGTTGGCCATAGCGCCTTGTTGTGGGCTCCCTTGGGGCTGGGCCTGTGGCCCTTACTAATGTATTAATGTGGTTTGTGTACATGTTTCGTGCACGTATGTAACTGTAATCGTCCTGTGACGTTTTGTGTGGGGGGTGGGTGATGCGGTCCACCTCACTTACCGGGTTGGCAGAGAGAGGGGTGGGGGCCCCGCTCTCATTGCACTCGACACCTGGAAGTCCGGGGGAGCTAGTAGCCCGGCTCCCCTCGAATGCCTTTCGGGGCAAGGATGTCCTCTCCGGGGGCTACCTTAGTATCCTCTCGGGGGATGTGTCCTTCCTAAAGGACGCCGGTCGGGTGTCTAACCGTGAAGTTTATGCTTACGCGGTTCCGCGGTGGACATAACCCATATGACCAGGGGCTTCATTCAGGTTTTAGGTCGGTCCCCCGCCCGATATTCCCTCGGGATACTACGGGCGGGAATCCACCACGAAGCCTCCTACCCTCCTCAGGGGTCGGACGGCGAATTTGGTTTAGGCAAATTTCCTGACTATAAAAAAAAAAAAAAGCAGAACAATCAAATTAATAGTATTTAAAACCTAAAAATTTTACTTTTAATTTGTAATAAATGTAAAACAAATAATTATATATAATATATATATCGGCAAGTTATACATATATTATCTTAATCTTGAATAAGGTCTTTCTCAGAAACGGAGCCTGTTTCACAAACGGAGCCTGTTTCACAAGCAGAGCCTGTTTCCAAACGGAATCTGTTTGACACACAGTGTTTTTCCGTTTTCTTTTTGATTGAAACTTGTTACTGCGTTCTTTACTTCTAACTAGCCAATTTTTTATTACTCTATAATCCGATTCTGTTGCAATTTTGTCTTGGAGTTCAGTCGAACAACACCTAAATCATTTAGTAAATATAAAAGTTACGCACGCATATGAGCATTACATAACGTAACTGTGCAACATAACCGGTGTGAACAGATCTGCGAACTTTAATGCGTAACATCATCATATAATACATATATATTACAGATATTAAATAAAAAAATTGTGAATAAAAAAATGAAAGCGACAAAGTAATGTAACAAATTAAATTCAAATTCAAATTTTTCTATTTAAATATTATTTGATTACGCAACACAGTTATGTTACGATGACAGCTTGATTCAAGCGTATATGTATATGCTTAAAATGGTTTTGATGTAGAGTAATAAATAATATATTTTACCAATGATCACTTGGACGAACTTTAGCGATTTAAAAGCTTTTTTTTGCCGAGCTCCCTCCCAGGAATATAGCATTCCAACTTCATTTGAAATTGCTCTCGACATAATGGCTTTGATTACATGGGGAAGATCTGTGCCTCCAATTAAACGCAGTTAATGACTCTAAAATATAAAATTCACAAAATAAAAAAGTTCTTTATAAAAATAATTTTCATCATGTAAAATATAATCTAAATAATATATAATAATAATTAAGTACACACCAGTGCATGTATGTTATCAGCTGAACTCGATAGCCATTCTTCCATCGACATTAATTCCTGCTCTGTAACGACTGGAAACGATTGTATTAAAGTCATAACAGCCGTATTAGTGTCATCATTTAGTTCTGGCTCATCAGCATATTGGGCTTTTTTACAAGTATTTCACGTTATCCATAAGATCATTTAATTTAAGATTAATCAGATGAACTTCTTTAAGAAGTTGTTTTCTGAATTCTGAAAATTCTGAAAGTTAAGTTATATTGGATATTAAAATATTATACAAAAAGGAATATTTAAAAAATACAAAACATATAAAGAATAAAAATAATTATTTACCAGCATTTACGTGAACGCTATCTGTAGTTCGCTTGAAGTTATCTTAAAATAACAAGAAAATATTATCAATTTAATTAATAATGCTTATTTAACAGAATTGTTGTATAACAACAAACTTATTATATTAAGGCCGATAATACGTTGGTGAATTCAATGCAGAGCAGAAAAAATTTCAACATATGTATTCCTATGATAGTATGCTACAGCGGACTACGCTGGGCCTGTCGTAGCTTATCTACCATAGGATATATGTATATGTTGACGACTTTTCCGCTCCGCATTGAATGTACCCATGTGCTACCGGCTTTAAAGTGGAATAAATTAATATAGAATTTATTTATTAACATTATTATTTAGATTAATTTATATTAATACTATTATATTATTTAAGTAATACTATTATTTATTATTGAAAAATCAATATTGTTTTAAAATATTAATTTTTTAAATGTATATTATAATTGTTATCTAAAACCAAAATATTTAAATATAAATATAAAGTGGAATAAATTAATATAGAATTTATTTATTAACACTATTATTTAGATTAATTTATATTAATACTATTATTTAATTAATACTATTATTTATTATTCAAAAATCAATATTGTTTTAAAATATTAATTTTTAAATGTATATTATAATTGTTATCTAAATATATTTATATTTAAATATTTTGGTTTTAGATAACAATTATAATATACATTTAAAAAATTAATATTTTAAAACAATATTTTTTTTCAATAATAAATAATAGTATTAATTAAATAATAGTATTAATATAAATTAATCTAAATAATAGTGTTAATAAATAAATTCTATATTAATTTATTCCACTTTAAAGCCGGTAGCAGTATTTAAATATATAAATTGCTAAGCCGTATTTTCTTCAGTATATTGATCTGATTAATAATGTAATAATAAATATTTTACATAAAGGTTCAAGTTTTAAAAATACTTACGATTAGTAATATTTTGACTTTCCATTGGAGAGCGATCATTATCTGTTAAATATAAGGAAAATTAGTTTTTGAAAATAAAATGAATTCTTACTAGAAAAGTATTTATCTTATACCGTGTCTCTTGCCAGAAAGTGGTAATGTAGGGTATGTGTTGCTATCTTCATCAGATATCGATTCATAAGATTTATCAGTATCCGAGTAATCCTTATGTCCTTTACTTTTGCCTTGTCCCGCTTATGTATTTTATTATTCTTTTTCGTTAAAATCTCCGTATGTGATGAAAGATCATCTGTACGTTGGGCTTTAATTGCCTTTCTTTTAGCAAGTTTTAAATCACCTAAATAAACATTACTTATTATATATCCAATAACAAAGAATATAACTACCATATTGTTGTACATTATAGAATTGCATATTAAATAAATGTGTGGTGCAAAATAACAATGTAATTATTATAAGTTTATGATAATTACAAATAAAAGAAGATATTCCATGATTAATAACAGTGTGTGTGTGTGTGTGTGTGTGTGTGTGTGTGTGTGTGTGTGTGTGTGTATAATTCTTTATACATATATTAATAATTAATAATTCTTTTATAAAAATGTTATACAATTTTATATAATATAAACAAAACATATTTACCATATGTGCCTAAAATAATTGCTCCGTATTTCATCCAGTTTGAATCAGGACTTTATTCATTTTTATAGCTGCTTTAATAGCTGTGTAACGGCGCAGCCGTTACTAACGCCTCGCGGGCCGATCAGCCGCCCGCCACGTGAGGCTTTGGCGCCTAAAGGCGCCCCTAATCGTTCCACACGGGCCGCCCCACCCCGGGGACGCCCCTCCGCGATCCCGGCGCGGTACCCCCGCCACGAACTCGACGCGGAGTAGGGGACCGCCGGACGGGTATATAAGCCGGCTCGGCGGACGAGCCGGCACCAGTCCCGTTCCAAATCTCCCAGACCAGGCAACGGGCTTCTCGTTGTGAAAGTGCCGGGTTTCTCGGTCGCTGGTTCCTACCGTTAGTATCGGGCAACGGGTTTCTCGTTGTAACACCGGGTTTCCCGGTTTCCGGTCTCCTCCTGTAATACGCCGGGCGACGGGCTTCTCGTCGTTACACTGGGTTTCCCAGTTTCCGGTTCATCCTGCTAACATCCGGGCGACGGGCTTCTCGTCGTTATACCGGGTTTCCCGGTTTCCGGACATCCTTATAAGGCTATATGCCGCCGTACGTTGGCTCCACCGCTCTCCGTTTGGAATAAAGGCGTTACGCCCGTACCTAGTATCTCCAGCATCGTATACCGGGTAATTGTAAGTCCCATCAGGACACCGCTATAGGCTATGCGCCTCCGCCTGTTGTATCTCCAGTATCGTATACCGGGTAACTTGTAAGTCCCATCAGGACACCGCTATAGGCTATGCGCCTCCGCCTGTTGTATCTCCAGTATCGTATACCGGGTAACTTGTAAGTCCCATCTGGACACCGTTATAGGCTATACGCCTCCGAGCTTGTAAATACATCGGACGCTCCGTTCGAGCCTCACGCTTTGTACATATACCGGGTAGCTCGTAAGTTCTTTGTTCAGGCTTTACGCCACCGGACGCTCCGTTCGATCCTCACGCTTTGTACATATACCGGGTAGCTCTTAAGTTCTTTGTTCAGGCTTCACGCCACCGGACGCTCCGTGCGATCACCGTTCACTACGTATACCAGCGATCCGCTAAACCCGTAGGATGACCTGTACTCTGCTATTAAACATTCTTTTCGTTGTTCTTTTTATTTGAATAAACCCACTATTTTTATATTAAGGAATAAGCGAGTCTGAATTTCCCCCTTCCTCCCGAATCCTGGAACCGGCGAGCCGATCCGCGGCGTCGGGAAAGGTGAACCGTTACATGGCGCCCGAACAGGGACCTGCCCAGTGGAGATTCCGACTCGCTTAGACCTGTTTAAATGCCCGCGTGGATTAACCGATTGTCAAAATCCGAAGCCATTGCCTTGGCCGAGAGGCACGGGCTTGAGAGTCAGGGGACTCTTGACGAGATCCGCCGACTCCTCCGCCGATTTGTCGGGCAAAACCCCGCGTTATTCCAAACTCGTATGACCGTGCCCACTATTCGCGTCGGGATGGCCACTGAAGGCCCAACCAAGGACGAAGGACCTACCTCCCCGACACTCATCGAACCAGCTAAGGTCATGAATCAGATCCGGAAATGGGGGTGCCATTTTGATGGCAAAGACCCCTTGGCATTCCTCGAACGCACAGAAGAGCTGTGCCTGGGGTACGGATACACCGACGCCCAGATGCTACTGGGACTACCAGAACTCCTACGGGGAGATGCCCTGCTATGGTATCGCAACATCCGCGATACCATAGCCAGCTGGGCCGACTTTCGACAAGCCATCCGTCGGCAATACTTGCCGAGCGGGTACGAACGGCAAATGAAAAGGACGATCCAGGGACGACAACAACGCCCGAAGGAGTCCTTCCAGAGGTACGCTACCGAGGTCCTGACAATGATGAGACGGGCTGGGGGATATTCACCCCTGGATCAATTAGAACAGTTATATGAGAACATGGACCCGGAGTACCAACTGCACATCCGTCGAACCGACGTGCTCAGCGTCGGAGACCTCAGCTTCCGAGCCGCCGAATACGAGGAGGTCGACCGACGCAGGCAAGAACGGCGAAAGGACACCCTGCCGAGTCACACCCCGGTCGTAGCTTCCGCGACCTATAGTCGGGAGGAATGCTGCTGGCGGTGTAAACAACGAGGGCATACCCGCATAAATTGTAAGAGACCGCCTAAGAAATTCTGCTCCAAATGCGGCAAAGACGGGGTCCTTACCCGCGACTGTCACCCCCCGACGGGAAACGGGGCGCGGGCCGGAGACGTCGCGGCCGTCGTCCAGCCCGACTCTGCTTAAACTATAATCCAAGACCGCACCTCCTGATCCAGATCGCCGGGCAGCAGTATTGGGGCCTCCTCGATTCCGGCTCGGAGATATCATTTCTTAATGCCAACACAGCCCGCCGAGTTAGCCGTACATCATCGAGTCCAGACCCCAGGGCAACAGAGATACGCCTGGCCGACGGGACCCAGGTCCCTATCGTCGAGACTATCGAGACGACGGTTAAGTTGCAAGGAAAATCGCACCGACACCGCTTCTCCGTGCTCCCGCAACTGGACAATGCCGTGTTGATAGGCGTGGACCTCTGGGCAAAACTAGGGGTAGAATTGCGCCCACCGCCCAAGTCCATCACTCCTGCCACGACCAAGGAGGGGGCCGCCACGGCCAGCATCAGGCCGGGCACCGCCAGTGAAGCGCTAAAGCTACAAGCCTTCCTGAGTAGCGAGCTCCCAAAATTCGAAGCAGTCCGCGGCCCGACTGACAAAGCCGTCCACCAAATTCGGCTCAAGCCGGGGCCGCCTATCAAACAGCGGTACCGTCCCCGCAATCCGGCCATGCAGACCGTCATCGACCAGGAGGTCCGAAGGATGGAGGCCGAAGGGGTCATTGAGCCCTCCACCAGCGCCTGGAGCTCCCCGATAGTACTGGCCAAGAAAAAGGACGGGACCTACCGGTTTTGCATCGATTTCCGTCGGCTAAACGCGGCCTCCGAGAAAGATGCCTACCCGCTGCCTCATATTACCGCCACGTTGGATAAGCTGCGAGGCGCACACTATTTATCCACGTTGGACTTACGCAGCGGGTATTGGCAGGTACCGCTGACGCCGGAGAGCCGCCCCGCAACCGCCTTTACTGTGCCAGGGAGAGGGCTGATGCAGTTCCGTGTCATGCCGTTCGGACTGCACTCAGCCCCAGCCACCTTCCAGCGATTACTCGATACCGTGCTGGGACCTGCCTTGGAACCCCACGTCCTCGTTTACCTGGATGACATAGTCGTCGCATCACGCACCTTCGAGGAACACCTGGGCCATCTGGCCGAAGTTTTTCGTCGCCTGCGAGACGCCCGACTGCGCCTCAACCCGGAGAAGTGCCATTTCTGCCGACCAAGTCTCCGGTACCTCGGGCACGTGATCGATCGTCACGGAATCCGGACAGACCCAGAGAAGGTGAGGGCCATTACCGATTGGCCCGTCCCCACGACCCTCCGCAGGGTACGACAGTTCCTGGGGGTAGCGTCGTGGTACCGCCGATTTATCGCCGACTTCTCCACCATCGCCGCCCCCCTCACTCGCCTCACCAAGAAGGGGGCACGCTGGAACTGGGCCGTGGAAGAAGAAACCGCGTTCCAGAAATTAAAACAGGCGCTAACCACCGCCCCCGTCCTCGCCTGTCCGGATTTTACCCAACCATTTGTACTCCAGACCGACGCCAGCACCCACGGGTTAGGAGCCGTGCTGACTCAGCACCTCGGCGAGGGAGAGCGAGTCATCTCGTACGCCAGCCGAACCCTCAACGCGGCAGAGCGAAATTATAGCGCCACCGAGCTGGAATGCTTGGCCGTCGTGTGGGGCATACGCCGAATGCGGGATTACCTCGAGGGCTACAGGTTCACCGTCGTGACCGACCACCAAGCTCTAAAATGGTTGCAACGAATCGAGGCCCCTACCGGGCGACTGGCCCGCTGGATGTTCGAGTTGCAACAGCACGACTTCAACATCCAGTACCGGCGAGGTACGCTCAACCAAGTGGCGGACGCTCTCTCTCGCCTCCCGGAAGCCTTAGCCGTGACCCGGCCGAAATGCCGATGGTACCACCGAAAGTTAACCGAGGTACAAAGACACCCGACCGAGCACCCGGACTACAAGGTACAGAACCGACAGTTATATCGGCACATCCTCCATGATCTGGACTTCCGGGAGACGCCAGCTGAGGAACAGTGGAAGCGGTGCGTACCTACGGATCAACGGCCTGCGCTACTGCAACGAATGCACGACGACCCGGCCGCCGGACACCTGGGCATCTCTAAAACACTTGCTCGGGTGGCCCAACTCTATTACTGGCCCGGCATGTTTCGGGAGATTGCCCGGTATGTCCGAGGATGCACTAATTGTGCGCGGCATAAGGCCTGCCAACAACGACCGGCTGGGCGGATGATGGCCACCCCCGTCCGAACACCTTGGGAACAAGCCGCCGTAGATCTGATCGGCCCCCTGCCTCGATCGAATAGCGGCCATACCTGGCTGTTAACCATCCAGGACCGATTTAGCAAGTGGGTCGAGATGGTCCCACTCCGGA